GGGGAAGGGGGGGAGGGGGCAGGAGATGCAGGGCTGACGGGCTCTCTGACCTGCTTCCAGCAGCCGCTTTCCCCCAAGTGGGGTTGCCTTCCTGGGGTTACGCTCTCGGGAGGACTTGGATGATTGCTCTGTGTGTGTGACCATTTTAGTCGATAACCTCTGGACACTTCGTAATCGTATAATGTGATGACCACGTGCTCTCCTAGCAGAGAGAGCGTGTCGCCTTTTCTGCGAGCTCCTCTGAGAGAGGACGCACTCCCGCCAGCTCCCCAGGAAGGCGGCTGCCAGCGGGGCCACCCTCCCCCGTGCCCGCGGCCCCTGGGTGCTGAGGAGGGGCTCCGGGGCCTGGCCTCTGGGTGCTGAGACCACTGAGCAGGGGTCAGGGGTCAGCTAAAAATGAAAATCCCAACGCAGCTCAGCTTCCCTGTTGTCTTGGAGCGTGTGGTTAGGGCGTGATTGCGTGTTTTATGCTGGCACAGCCTAACTAGTATTTTACACACGAGCTGTGTGGGCCAGAGCCGGGTCCCGTCTGGCTCCGGGGCCGTTTGGGGCCTGGACCAGGGAGGATGTAGCACCGTCCCTGGCCTCCACCCACTCGATGCTGGGAGAAGCCCACACCCAGCCATGACACCCACAGATGTCCCCACAGCTCGCTCTCCCCCCAGTCCTCGGTGCACTGAGGACTACCTTCTGCCCATAGCAGGTGCTTTTAAAATGGGAATTTATCAATAAAGTGATCTTGGTAATAGAAATGCAGCCGGCGCGTCTGCACACGGACACAGACGGTGCCTGTGGCCTGTTACCGCTGAGAGAGGATGGCTCAGTGGTGAATGGTTGCTGGGGCTTCACTGGGTTTTTCCCTTCGTTTTGTAGCTGACACACATGGGCGTGAACCCGCTGGAAGCCGAAGAGCTGGTCCGTGAGGACGACAGCCCGGACTTTGAGTTCATAGTCTACGACTCCTGGAGAATATCAGGCAAAACGGCAGAAAACACCTTTAATAAAACCCATACATTCCACTTCCTGTAAGGCTCCTTACCCCCCGGGCCAGCCATTTGTAAACCGTACGTTGTGTTTGAGTGTAGGCACAGAAGTTACGTGGTGCTGTAGAGGGACGGTCGGAGCCATTGCTTAGAGACCGAACTGGTTTAAGAGCCCATGATGTGGGATTATCTGAGGCAGGAAAGGCTGAGGGCAGGCCCTCCTGGCGGTGAGGGAGCCTCGAGTCCCTGCGTCCGGTCGCTTTGTCTCATCCGTAAAGCCCTCGGAGAGAGACCGTGCCTCTCGGCACCACGAGACGAACACGTGTGAAGTGCGTGTGTCACGCTCCCGCCCGGATGCTTGCTCTCCTGCGTTTGAAGGCTGTTTGAGTCACTGCCATGTGACCTGCCCAGTTTGGTTTTGGATACAACTCTGGTTTTGAAGTTTCTCTCCCCAAACGCACTCATTTCTGTCTTAACTTCCTGCTCAGCCGATGGGGAAGCGCACACTCCGAGGGCTCTTTGGTGAGGCCGAGTGCAGAGGGGTGGACCTTGTTCCCAGAGCACCTTCTCCAGGCCCATCGTGTCTTCCTCATGAGGCGGGGCTGGGCGTCCGTGCGTCCTGATCCCCCTCAGAACCTCGAGACTGGCCCTGGCTGGTTTTGGTGTCTCGGGGGGGCTGAGGGGCCTGTGTGGGTCTGTGTGGGGACAGGTTCCTGCCTAACAGGCCTTGGGGCCGGGGGCCCGACCCCTTTCTCTGTTCGGGCGCAAAGGTCAGGCCTCTGCACTGTGGGATGGACTCCGGGTCTTTGTTGGCTGCTGAGGGCTGGGCTCTGTCAGATCCCAGGTGGACGGCTGGCCTTGGGCAGCGTCCCCTTTACTCACCAGCCGGCCTGCGACCCTGTGCCCGCGATGGCTCCTCCCTTGGCTCCCCTGCCCCCCCGCCCCAAACGTGTCCTCCCCCCCCCAAGCTGGCAAGGCTGTTCTCCCTCAGGCCCCAACCTGGGAGCCTCCAGTAGCTGCTCCAGCGGAGCTGTGAATGCAGGGCCAGGCTGCCCCGCTCGGGGTGGTGCTCCGCTCGGGGTGCTGCCCCGCTCGGGGTGGTGCTCCAGGCTGCACGTGGGACCTACAGGGCACAGGACACACCTGCCTACACTGTGTCCTTTGGTTGCTCAAGTGTAGGGGCCACAGGGGTCTGAATTCCTGGGGCTTGGCCTCTGCCTGCTGCACCTATCGCTGTGGCTTCCGTCTGCACTGGGCCTTCTGGGAGGGAGTGGGGCAGGGAGCCAGGGTCTCTGCTGGAGCCATGGGCCTCCCGCACACCTGTCCGAAGGCTGGTACCCACGGAGCCGCTTCTGAGAGCACCTTTTCCGTTAGGTTGGGCTCCATCCAGGGCGAGTGCCCTGTGCCGAAGCCGCGCGCCGAGCGCCCCAGGAGGATCTGTGCGCTGGAGAAGGAGCGGGAAATGCCTGTCCAGGTTCGTAAAGCACCTGACGTGGGAACAGCCACGAATGCGGTGGACGTGCAGTTTGGCCGTCTTGTCTAGGCGTTAGGGTCTGGAATCACTTAAATAGTCGTGTTATTTGAGTCTTTAAACTTTTTATTGGATTGTCCATTGGTCAAAGTCTTAATGCATCCAGTACTTGGGGTCAGTTCTAAGCCCGGGTTTCTCAACCTCCCGATACCACGCGTGGGGTGGAAGTTCTTGTTCGAGGCTCGGTCTGGTGCCTGTGGGATGTTCAGCAGCATCCTTGGCCGTCTCCCACTGGGTGCCAGGAGCAGCTTTCTTCCCCACCCAGGGCGGGGCAGCCACATATTGGCAGTGTCCCCAGAGGCCAAACCACACCCAGGTGTGAGCGCTGTTGTAAAGTACCCTTTTGCGTTCTGCTGTTTTATGCTCCACCTGAAGGTGGCTGGTTTGGTCATGTGACTCCTGTGTGAAGAATTCCTAGGGAATGTTCCTGAAAAGCTCTGTAAGCTTTAAGACGGCCATAAACACTGCTAGCCGGGAGAGACCTAGAGGAGGTGCCTGGGGAAGAGCAGGAGGTTCGCTGCGTGTCAGTCGGCTTGATGACAACTTTATATTTTCAGCTAAAAAGAATGGAAGAGTCTCAGCAAGAAGCCACAGAAAAAGAAGTAGAACGGATCTTAGGGTTGTTGCAGACATACTTCCGAGAAGATCGTAAGTATGAGGCCAAGTTCCAGATGGAGCAGTCTACTTGCTAGATGTGTCCCATCCCACCTCTCCCTCCCCAGAGGCAGCCACCTGTAACGTGCTGGGTAGATTCGCAGATGGTCTCAGAGCTATGCCAGTCCTATGAATAGGCACATAGTAGGGTGTTTTGTGGGGTTTTCAAAGCTGATCACGATGCACACATTCTTCTGCAGCGTGACTTTTCCGTGTGGACACTTTCCTCTCAGTGCGTGGGGCTCTCTTATTCTTGTCGGTGACCCCCACTCTACGGCTGCATCATAGACCCACTGACAGCCCCTCTGCGGCAGGCGAGTGAGGCCTTATAGCCCTTCAGTCCCCGTAAGCTGCGGGAGAAGTTTGGCCTGCCTTTGTCCATAGGTGCTAATATTTTTAGGACAGTTTTGAGGGGGAGGGGGGGCCCAGGGGCCATGCCTGGTTTTAATAGATTTGCCAAACTGCCCCCCTGAAGGGTCGTATCTGTTCACACTCCCACGGCAGGGGTGCCCGTCTTTCCTCGGGCTGGCACTGGCGTTGGGCTTAGTGGTGAGCAGCAGCCACGCCCCGTCCTGAAGAATTTCTCCTCCTCTGTCTGTAGCCGACACGCCTATGTCCTTCTTTGACTTTGTGGTCGACCCACATTCTTTCCCTCGAACGGTGGAAAACATCTTTCATGTCTCCTTCATCGTAAGGGTAAGACTTATTTCTCTAATTGCTTTTATGAGCTTTTAAAAAATAAATAATAAAAACTGTGGAGGAGCTGGCAGAGGAGTGGGTACTAACCAGTGTGAATGTAGACCCATTGTTGCAAAATAGGAACTGACCTGGAGGCAGAAGCACCGGCTAAACCGAGTTCATAATTTAGGTGCTTGCTTTCCCGTTTAGAATTTTAGTGAAAGGACTGGCAAAATGTGAACATGGAACTATGGGTTCGATAGCACTGTGGTGTCCACGGGACACGCCCTGCGTTCAATAGCTGTCGTGTTAGTAGAACCTCCCTGTTCTCAGGGAGCATCAGGGCCACATGGTCTATCACGTACTCTCATAAAAACTGATAATACAATATGCGAGGTGGGCCGAAGGAGGCTCACGGCCGTGGAACCCTGGATGAGTATTTATTGTATGTTCCACGTAAACCACCGTCAGCCTGCTTTGGCCCACCCCGTGTCTACAGAGAGCGACAAAGCAGGTGCGCAGCACGTGGAGGAGGTTGTACAGCGGTCTTGTAGCTCTAAGCGGGAAGTTGCTTTTGACAAAGCAGGTGCGCAGCACGTGGAGGTCGTACAGCGGTCTTGTAGCTCTAAGCGGGAAGTTGCTTTAAAGGAGGTAAAGTAAAGTGCTAAGGAGCTTGCTTAGACTGTGTGTTACCGGATTGCTTTCCAGCACATGTAAGAGGAAAGTGATCTTAACCTGAGACAAAAATCTTGCATTGACCAAAGTTTTCCCAGAAATGATAACAGGCATATTTTGTCAATGGTGCATGATAGAATTATGCATAATAAAATGTGAGTATCGGTTAAGGAGGAAGACAGTTTAGTCCACGAGATCCTGGGGCGGAGGCGTGTCGAGTAGAAAAGCTGTGAGAGACCCGGGAGGCGTGTAAAGAAAAACGTTCAGGTCTTGTCCATGTAATCGCCCCACTGTTGTCACAGTTTCATTGTCTGAGATACAAAACTTTCTGAATAACTTTTTTATCCAGTGTTTATAGGATCTAAATTGTAGTCTTCTAAAATCACTTTTTGGTGTGTTTTAGGATGGTTTTGCAAGAATAAAACTTGACCAAGACCGACTGCCAATAATAGGTAAATGATCCTATGTTCAGGAAAATTAGTTTTAGAGAAAATTTATTTGGTACTAGAGTTTATGTATTTTACTAAATGTGAGTGAGTTTTCACTTTAGGAAACAAACTCTTGTAATGCTGTATCTTTATCAACCAACTGAAAATGTGGCCATAGTTTAAAACAATGGATTCATCTATATCATTGATTTGGTTCAACATCTGCTGTCAAGATGAACAAGAAATCATATAATTTCCCTCAAATTTTAAGTTAGAAAGTTGGTCATTGCCGATATTTTTGTAGTTTTCTTCCTATTTTCTCCTAATGCCAGCGCCTTCGCTCCCTGGGAGAATCTTTGCTTGTTAGTTGAGTAATTGCTCCTGGTAAGAACTCGTAGAGTGAAGACCGCCAGGGCGCAGCTCCGTGGTTGCTACGCAGAGATGCGAGGTTTCCAAGTGGTAGAATGTGTTACTCGACTACATTTTTTTAATGAAAACAAATGGATGACTTGCCAGTATAATAACATTACAACGCAGTGATGCATGAAGTCCCAATAACTAGGTAGAATTGGAATCATCTTCTCGATACAGGTTTCATTCCTGTTATTCGTCAGTTCCTGTTTAGCTTACCTCTTCTGAGTGGATAACCTTTGAAAACTTTTGTCTTTCAAACAGAGCCCGTTAATATTAATGAGGAAAGTGAGGGCATTGACCAGAACACCCAAATCAGGAATCAAGGGATTATAGCTTTGAGTTACCGCGACTGGGAGGTAAAGCTCCGCCCATGCCCACAGGTGGTCCCGCCGTGACAAGCTCCCTGGACCTTGTCCGTAAGCCCGTGCCCACCTGTTCTTTGCTCTGCAGGAGATCGTGCGGACCTTTGAGATCTCGGAGCCGGTGATCGTGTCCGGCCCGAGCCGGCAGAGCCTGAGTGCTGATGGCAGCTGAAGGTAAGGCTCTGGGGGCAACCGGGGCTTTTAGCAAACGCTCCGGGTGTCTGACCATCCCGCGGGGCACATTCTGGGCAAGTGTGGGTCTTGCCGCCCGTTGCCTCCCTTGTTGGGGACAAAGGCCGGGCAGGCCCTGTGGTTGATCCCCTCTTTGGTAGGCAGTCGGTAGAGGCAGAGCAGCTAGTTCCTGGCGTGGCTTTTTTAACCCCTAGCATGACCCATCGGTACGTAAGTGAATATGGAAGCCTCCCATCGGTTTGGTTCAGTGTCCGTTAGATTTGCTTACTTTGTGGGTACAAAGCAGAAAAGGAGGATCCCCTCAAAATGAAGTTAGGAAATGGCCATTTCTCAAACGAGCGATGCTGCGAGGGAACTCTGCCTTTCTACGAAGGAGCGCATTGCTGCAAGGAAGGCTCAGTGGTGATCTGGCTTCTGCAAGCAGCTGTGGGGGGCCTGGGAGACCGGGACTCGGCTGGCTCTGCCCCTTTATGGTGGCGGGCAAGTCACCTGCTCACGCTCGGCCACATTTGCCTGACAGATCTATGACTCTCCATAAAATGGGGAGGCTTCTTTTTCTAGCTGAAGTGTTCTATGGTTCTGAGAGTTAAAATGTGAACTCTTCACCTGTGCCTCCATTAGTTGAGCTGCTTTTGTTCTGGGCCTGAGGGAGGGGAGCATTGACACAAGGTCGGTGTGTGATGGGTGAACGGGGCCTACGCACTGAGGAGGGCTAGCTCTTAGGTTGCATTCTTGTATATTAAGTCAACTTTTGATTTCTAAACTGTTAACCAGCTATTTCCCCTCCTCCCTTCTAGGACTCTAATGGATAGTGAAATCCAGAAAGGAAAGCAGCATGTGTTGTATATATTGTATGATTGAACGTTTTTAAAGGCAGATTGTTTTTAGTAAACTGTAGCTTTTGATAGTGTATCGATTTGTCATGGTTGTCTTTGATTAAAGGAGATGCACTGCCATGTTCACAAATAGTTGTAGTTGCTCTTTGTTCTGTTGTCAGGAGAGTGGCTTCTCTCCAGTCTGGTCCCACAGGAAGTTTCAGACCGGCTGGTAGTGGCCCACACATCATGATGGTCCTTGTTACGTCCCTGGCTGTGCAGTCAGCTCATCGGCTCCACACGTAACAGGTTGTACCACATGAAATAGTCTTTGTGCTAAAACGTGGTCAAGTATCAGCAATGTTACGTGACTCAGCCTGTGATTTATACACAAGCAGCTGCTCGGTCCTCGCCAAGCCAGGCTGGACCACCTTCCCAGCCAGCCAGCTGTGGGTCCGTCTCGCCGGTCCTCTGTCCACGAGGCTGCTGGCCGCTAGAGGGGACCACACCCGGGCGGATGCAGGCTGCTCCCAGGGCCTGGTCTTTGCTGGGCCTTCGGGTCTGTGCCCAGTGCTCTGAGTCCCTAGTGGGCTCCTTTTCCCGTTCCCGCGTTCTAATCGGCCCTTGCTCACTCCTTCCCTCGGGTCAGAGCTGGAGGGCCTGTCTGTGGAAGGCTCGGGTCGAGCTCCCCGCCTCCTCGTCTCGCCCTGCCAGTCATCCCCCTCCCTCTCCACACCTCGTGCTTTCCCCTCCACCATCTCATCTCATCTCATCTCAGCAAGAGGCCGGGACCGTGGTTCCTGTCCTGTCTCCTGTAAGTAGGACCCCTTGCGGAAGCGTCCAGTCCTGACCTTGGCCGTTCAGCACCTCCTTCCCACCGCTCTGCTGAGGCTGGTCTATGCGATTTACTGGCGATTCCTTTCCAGCCAAGATCCAGTGAGCACATGCTGAAAATGTGCTTCTCGAAAACTACATCCTCGTGTCCGACGCTTCCCGTTTCCTCCCACCATCCTGCTCGCGTGATAGACGCATCGCATCCTGAACCTTCCCAAACCGACGACCCTTCTCAGCAGCTCCAGGAGCTGGACAGAGGCTTCCTGGGCAGCACGCGGGCTGCTCTCCCGCCGCCTGTGCTGGCGCTCTTCCCGCTTTGCTTCCTCAGAAGCTGTGAATTCTTGTCTTCATCCCCCACGGCCCTCCCTCAATTGGTCCCTAACTCTCCCCTGGGCTCCCGATTCTATCTTGCCCTGGTTTCTGCCACAGCCACCCATCTGGTGCCCGCTTCCTGTCTGCCCTTCAGATTCTCCCCTTCCTTCCACCTGGGACTCCCCACTGCCTTCAGGACTGAAAGACCTGAGCTCATCAGTGACGTCAAGCCCCTTGCGATCAGGGCCTCTGCCTATCCTTCTGGCTCACTTCCTCCTCTAGACCGGTCAGTTCTTCGTTCTTGTTAAACGGCCTGGGTGAGAGTTCGCATGCCATCCCCCAGCTGGTGTATTTCACTGTTTAGTCTCCTCGGGTTGGGAATCACCCGTCACCACAGCCAGCTGGAGAACATTGTTGCCCTGTCCCGGCCGTCAGCAGGCACGCGGCCTTCCTCACCTGCCCTCCTCACCCTTCGGCCCTAACCCCCCCGCTGACCCACTCTCTCTCTCTGCTATTTCTGTCTTCAGAAATGTGCCTGTTCTGGACATTTCACATCAATGGAATCACATGTGTGGTCTTAACATTATAAATTTTTGGCTATTGCCTTCCTCGTCCCCTTCATTTCCATTCTGCTTGTTCCAAACACTCCCCACTAAGACGCGAGTGGTTACTTTCTTCAAACCAAGGGGGGAAAGCTGCTGCTTCGCATGCCGTACCCTTTGTAAACCATCCACTTTTTCATTTTTTTAAAAACTGTCAACAGAAGTTACCTGGACGGGTTGGTTAGGGGCCACTTTTTCCTCTTTCAACTTCTGAATTGAAAAACAAACAACTGATGGATGCCATCTTTTAAAAAGCAAACTAAGGTAGTACCCAAAGCCTTTCCCCCTCCACAACCGTGTGTTTGAGTAGCACCTGCTCTTACCGTAGTCGTCTTGTGTGTGCGCACCTGTTCATCTGCACCCTTTTCCTGTGGGGCTCTCCCAGGGCCAGGGCTGCGGCTTCCTCTGTGCGGCACTGGCTGTGGGGGTGCAGGCCACGCTCTCCTCACTGCCCTGCTGCCCGAGGAGTCCCGTCCAGGTGCATCCTCGGGCTCCAGACCCATCCATTGCGCCCTCCTCCCGAGTCCCTATTCTTACACTAGAGCTTGTGCTACAGAAGTGGAGGTGTTCTGCTTTGCTCCTTCTATGGGTGACAGACGGTTCAGGGGTTGGGGGCGGGAGGTGAAAATGTGGCTGCACACTTCAGAGAGGAGGAGTCTGTTTCCTCTTCCCCTGCATCTGGGGAAGCTAATAAACTGTAGCTTTTGATAGTGTATCGATTTGTCATGGTTGTGGGCCTCCCAACTTGATGAGCAACACAGTATGGCAGAAAGGATGCTCTGGAGGCCAGGCCCTGAGAAGCCTTGTAGAGTTTGACAGGCCGCTCAGAGCCCTGAGTCACTGTAATAAGTTCAGCTACCATGAGGCCCTGAAACCACACGGGATGGGAGGGAGGGAGGGGACTAGCCCAGCTACCCAGCTTTCTGGCTGGGAGGAGTCTGTTTCCTCTTCCCCTGCATCTGGGGAAGCTAATAAAAGAGGAGGAGTCTGTTTGTATCGATTTGTCATGGTGGTGGGCCTCCCAACTTGATGAGCAACACAGTATGGCAGAAAGGATGCTCTGGAGGCCAGGCCCTGAGAAGCCTTGTAGAGTTTGACAGGCCGCTCAGAGCCCTGAGTCACTGTAATAAGTTCAGCTACCATGAGGCCCTGAAACCACACGGGATGGGAGGGAGGGAGGGGACTAGCCCAGCTACCCAGCTTTCTGGCTGTTCCTGCCAAGGGCCTGTAGGGGAAGCATGGGCCCCCAGACTAGCCCGGCATCACCTGAGTGTCCCCACGTGGCTGCGCTGGTGCTACAGGGCAGAGCCTTGCCCAGCTGAGCTCTGCCTGGATTCTTGATACAGAATTGTGAGCTATAAGAAGATGGTGGTTTTAAGCCAAGTTTTGTGTTTATGGTTTAACTCCTTCCTCCCTCTCCCCATTTTGATGCACTTGGACACAAAATTAGGATATGGGATTTTACTGCATAACAGCTATGAAAGTCTGCTGGCCTAAACAAGAAATACAGTAACCTAGAAAGTTTTTATTTTCTTTTCTAGTTGACTTCTCAAAAACGGTGGTATCCTCAAGAGCTGTCTTCGGAGGGGTTTTTTAACGTTGCTCTCTCTGGACTTTTCCCTCAGAACAGTCACTTCTATGGGTGCCTCCCAGCGAGGCTGTACGAGGGGATAGGCTGTGATCTGCTCGAATTCCTTCACTTCCTCTTTCCTCACCTGAGGTTTTAGGAGAGGAGGAGCCTGGCCGGCAAGTTTCTGAGCATCTCGTTTGTGCTTTCTCTGCTCGGCGAGCTCTCGCCCTCGGATCATGCGCTCTCGATGTCTCTGCATCTGCTCCTGCAACCAGGCCACCTGGTGCTGTTTGGTTTTAGCTCTGGGTCTTCTCTGGAAGTTTTCCGTCTTTTCATGCTCCTGGGTGAATGTTTTGGGGGAAAGTATCTCACATGGACTTTTCTGAGGAGGCTGCCGATACTTGTGGTCTCGGAGGCCTCTCGCTCGCTCTGCTTGGTGGATGTGTTTCTTTATCTGGTCCAGCTCCTTCTCAGACACTAGATAGTCCCATCTTTGATCATCACCTGTCTTTTCACTTTGTATTCTCTTTCCCTCTTCCTTTCTGTCAAAGTCCCTTTTTGGAAGCATAAAGTATTCCCAAGCATCTTCCAGCATTTCTTGATGTCGTTGACAGCAGTGCTCCTCTGCTTGGCAAACCACAAGTCAAAAGACAGTGTATGTGTACGGAGTGTTTTATTCTCCTGCTGAAACGCGTGGACTGTTTCCTCACTTCTGTAGGATGGACGTCACCCAGCCGCTTGTCAGAGGGACCTACCAGAACTGTCTAAGTCGGCTGCTCTTTGTCATGGTCCCTGGCACGGATCTCAGGTGGCAGCCAGCCCTGCCTGGCACGCCCACCCCATGCTCACTTAGAGTCTCTTCACTGTGCACCCCGTCCTCCTCTTCACTCCCCTCCGCAGGATCCCTCCTCGTTGAAGCCTTGGCCTTAGACTTCCTCGAGGAAACAGAAGCAGTCACTCAGGAGCACCCCTCCCCCGGTCACAGCCACCACCAAGTGCCTCCCCGACTCCGTCCTCCTGCCTTTCCAACGGAAACACTGCCCCTCCCTGGATCAAAAGCCAGTCTTCCCCCTGTGCTCACTGAGCCTCAAGAACTTCCATGCTCAAATTCCCTTTCCTGCCTCAGCAAAACGTCCTGCTACTGGTCAGCCCATCAGCATGAAGATATGCGTCAGCCTGCGTCACCTTTGAACAGAAGAGGAGCCTTCTTTCCTGCACCTCCTCTCCGGCCTCCACTGCCTTCTTTGCTCCCCTCCACAGCGTAACTTGAAGCACTTACCTACGACCCCCTCTACTTTCCTGCCTATTTTCCTCTCAATCCTCTTCGGCTGGGCTTCTGTCCCCACCCCTTCTTCCAGACTGCTCGCATCTACGTCATGGGTGACTACACCTGGACAGATCCGGTGCTCCCACCTCTGTCCTGTCACCCTGACCTCTCAGCTTCTTTCTCTGGAGGTGACCACGCTCCTCCAGGCTGTGGACAAGGCATGTGACGGAGGCCAGCTTGGGTCCATACACTATCCCAGCGATTCGCTGAGCGTCCCCCAAGTGACTGACCAACCCTCATTCTCTTCCTACTGCATGGCCATCCCCTCCACCTGCGTTGCTGGTTCTGTCTTTCAAATGTAACGCAGGAAAGTCGAGCGGAGAAATTGTCACGTAAGGTAGAGCCGTCACAGTTAGGGCTGCTTGGACAGCGACAGTCTCAGCATGAACCAGGTGACCTCACGGGTCAGGCTCGGTGGGAAGAGTGGACAAGGCTGCCTGTGCCAGCCTCAGCCTCAGGCCCAGATACTCTAGACTTGACTCCCCCTGCAGAGTGTTGTCTTCAGTCTGCCCTTCTCAGTCCTGTCACTTCTAACCTCAAAACACCCCCACGCTGGGGCAGCAGCCTCCCTGGCTTCCCCGAACCCTCAGTTCTCTCCCTCTGCCCCAGCCACGTCACACAGTGCCAGTGGCCTTTGCATTCTCCAGATCTGAGCCCGTCGCTTTCCTGCCTCGACGTCCCAGTGGCGTCCTAACCTGGTTCCTGATCGCCTCTCAGTCGACTGCTTGCTCCCCTGCTGCAGCCACACGGACTTCCTGTTCCCCAAGAGCCATGCTCTTCCCCATCTGAGTCCTTTCACCTTCCTCCCTTCAGAGTCACACACGCGTCACCTCCAGGTCTCAGCTGACCTGCCACTTCCTCAGGCCTTCCGCACACTCATTCAGATACAGCCCCCCGCCCATGGCACTTAGCATCGTTTGTGGTAGCAACCTGCTTTATGTCACGGTCCCTCCTCGCCAGCCCAGGGAGGACACAGGTCGTGGACAGTGGCCGGGCTGTCCAGCCAGCAGAGGGGCTCAGTGAACCCACACGCCAGGCAGAGCACCAGGCCCTTTTCACCTTGTGTTAGTGGCTCCAAAACCCATGGTAAATGTTATTTCCTCACCTTGATCTTCTTTTCTCTTGGGGGCTGGGAGCATACTGCAATCTGAGGGTCTGGAGTATTTTATAAACTATCATTGTGTTAGTGGCTCCAAAACCCACGGTAAATGTATTTCCTCACCTTGATCTTCTTTTCTCTTGGGGACTGGGAGCATACTGCAATCTGAGGGTCTGGAGTATTTTGGCCCAGGCCAATCTAGAAGGTCAGAAAGAGAAGTTACGCTAGGATTTGGAGAAGCGTCTTAGGAAACATGCCCTAGCATGCGTGGTATTCGGGAATTGATTTGGGACTGACTTTACATGTTTCTCTTTCCTTCTCTCCCATCCATTTCTAAAAAAATCAAATTAAAAAAAATTTTTAAGAAAGAAAAGTTATAAAAGTAAATACGGATATTTTATGCTTAAATGAAAGAATTTCAAACATCAAGTCATGACAGTGGTTTCTGTCTATTTCATAGAAAGCACTGAATTAAAATTTCAATTTGCATTTTAATCACTTGTTTCCTAAACCAAAAAAGATACTTTAAGTCATGCCACTCAGATGTCAAATTCATGTAATAATAGTGACAGCATCATACTCCATAACAAGTTCCTAGTACAGGACAGGCATACCTCATTCTATTGCACTTCACAAATGTTGTGTTTTTGTACAAATTGAGAGGATGACCCTCCACCAGCAAAAGACTATGACTTGTTTGATGATGGTAGTCTGGAACCTAACCACAGTATGTCTGAGGTATGCCTCCCTGTGCTCACTGACTATGAGCCAGGCACTGTGTGAAGTGCTAAAAGGCTCCTGTGAAAACAGACTAAAGTCTCTTGTTTGATAAAGAAAAATATGCATTTTTAAAATATACATATACTAGAGGGTTCCTAGGTAGGCTTGGCCAGGATCAGGGCCTATTGGGGCCTTCCAGCTGCCAGCTGGGGCTGGGGCTTTCCTTCGTTCCGTGCCTCCCCCTGGTGGTCAGTGCACATCATAGCAAGCGATTGAACTCCCTATCTCCCAGTTGAACTCCTGTGGGGACACTTTGCATATTAGCCTTTTATATATATAGATTTTTATTGATTTCAGAGAGGGAGAGAGAGATAGAAACATCAATGATGAGAGAGAATCATTGATTGGTTGCCTCCTGCACACCTCCAACCTGGGCAACGAGCCCGCAACCTGGGCATGTGCTCTTGACTGGAATCGAACCCGGGACTCTTCAGTCCGCAGGCCGATGCTCTATCTACTGAGCCAAACCAGTTAAGGCAAGATATGCATTTCTTTTTTTCTTTTTTTTTTAACTGTAACTTGAAATTTTTTTTATTTCAGAAAGGAAGGGAGAGAGGTAGGGAGATAGAAACATCAATGATGAGAATCACTGATTGGCTGCCTCCTGCATGCCCCCTACTGGGGGGGAATCGAGCCTGCAACCCGGGCATGTGCCCTTGGCTGGAATTGAACCTGGGACCCTTCAGTCCACAGGCTGACGCTCTATCCACTGAGCCAAACTGGCTAGGCCAAGGTATGCATTTCTTAATGCGAGCCTCTCTTTAAGGAATCAGCTTAATGAAAATAAGACTTATATAAAGAGAATCACTTGGACTTAAAAGTGCTTGTCATTTAAATACTATTTGTACATTGTTCTCTTTCGTGTGAAGAGAAACTGGGAGGATAAAAAATGCTTATAAGCCAGGGAGATAAAGAATATTTTTGATAAGCAAATCAGGTTGAAACAAATTGAGCAAGACTAGACTTTGCCCTAACATGAGCAAAAGATGGCCTGAGTTTTTCTATGATAAATATAAAAAGAACTAGTCTGTGCCAACAGTATTTTTTCATATACCTAATTTTAATCCTTTGTCAAAAATCATGAAATATATTTAAATAGTTATGAGAAGTCCTGCCTGGGGAAGATGAGGATGGTTCTTGAACCAATATTAATACATTATTATTAACCAAAGTCTGTAGTTTAAGATTCACTCATGTTGTACATCCCATGAATTTTGACAAATTTATGACAGGAGTCCCTTATTATAATCATCAGATCTTTTGCCCACTTTTAATTGGGTTGTTAGTGCTGATAATTGTAGTTGAGGTTTTAATTTTGTTTGCTTAGGATCCATTTTAATTTTTGTGAAAGGTGTAAGGTCTGTGCCTAGACTTATTTTGCATGTGGCTCCCAGTTGTTACAGCACCATTTGCTGAAAGACCATCCTTTCTCCAGGGAGTTCCCTTTGCTCCTTTGCCCAAGATCAGTTGACTGTGTATGGATCTACTTCTGGCTTTGGACTCTGTTCCCTTGATCTAGGTCTGTTCTCTCTCCACTGTTCGATTACTCTAGTTTTATAGTAAGTTTTAAAGTCTGGTAGTGTCAGTCCTCTGACTTTTTCTCCTTTAACACTGTTTTATTCTGAGTATTTTGCCTTTCCAGATAAACTTTAGGATCCTTTTGTTGAGCTCCACAAATAACTTGCTCAGATTTTGATTAGGATTCATTGACTCGAAAAATCAAGTTGGAAAGAAGTAATATCTTAACAATATTCATCTTCCTATAAATGAACAAGGATTATCTCTTCATTTATTTACACCTTTGATTTCTTTCATCTGAGGTTTGTAGTTTTCCTCATATAGATTTTGTACATATTTTGTTAGATTTATACCTAATTATTTCTTTTGTCTTTTTTTTTTCTGGTGCTAATGCTATAATTGGTGATGAGTTTCAAGATATTTTTATTGATTCTTTGGGATTTTTCATTTGGCCAATCATGTCATTTGTGAATGACAATTTTTTCCTTCCCAATATGTATACCTTTTATTCCTTTTTTTATTTACTAGAGGCATGGCGGGGGGGGGTCCCTCATCCCGGTCTGCACCCTCTCCAATCTGGGACCCCTCAGGGGATGTCCGACTGCCAGTTTAGGCCCAATCCCATGGATCGGGCCTAAACTGGCAGTTGGACATTTGTCTCACAATCCAGGATCACTGGCTCCTAACCGCTCACCTGCCTGCCTGCCTGATCGCCCCTAACCGCTCTGCCCCACCAATCTGTTCACCCCTAACCATTCTCCCCTGCTTGCCTGATCGCCCCTAACCACTG